CACACACACACACACACACACACAATATTACTTTACCAACTGACCCCTGAGCTCCTAAGTGTCCCTCAAACCTTATTCAGCGATCCACTCCTCTACTTCACAGTCGCTCCATAATAGCTCACTGTCCTCACTTTCTGATTATTAACTCGAAATTTAGAGAAACATAACTTGAAATTTTGAGTTACTTTTCTCAAAATTTCAAGTTAATAACTCGAAATTTCGAGTTAGCTCTGCCATAGGGCTGTGTGATATGACCAAAATCTCATATCCCGATATAAGAAATCTATCGTCCGATAATGATATAAATCACAAAAATGTAACATTTTCTGTAAATTCTGTGAGTCTCCGGCAGCTCGACTTGCGTGAAGTGTTTCCAGCTGAGCGTCGTGTACCTGGAGTCAAGTGTTTTAACCGATGCATGAAACTATACATTTTCAGACATAAGTTGTGAGTATTTATTACACAGCGTGCTGCGGGGAAAAGCCTGTTCTAACGTTTGAGTCTAAGGTTTATTTTTTAGCACCTGACTACTCTTTTTTGCTTCTCATCCGTAAATACTCTGAATCACGTGAAAGAGTATGCAGAGTATTTTATAAAGTCTCAACAGGATCTTGAGCTTTATTGTGAAAGGTTTATGTAGAAAATAAACAAGCGGACACGCGATGGTTTTACTGTCGTTGTTGCTAACGACAACGCAGAAAAACAGGCACTTATCCGTCCGTAGTGTGGTTATATTAAATATAAGAGAAAGAGAGAACTTTAAGAAATTAATAAAGCCACTGCAGTGACCATCAAAACGATGAAAAAATATTGCCGTAAACAGTTTATTTTACGACGCCATGAAACTAACGATTGCGTAAAATGAAACAATAGACGTTTTTATATTGTCATCCGATATATATCGTTATATCGAACTCTGCCAATCAGTAATCTACGTGAATGAGGTCACTTTCTTGTTACCCGGAAGCATATGGCGCAGAGTAGTGCGCACTCAAAACCGGGTCACATCAAATTGGCGCTTTCGCGAGTACGTTTGCTGATAGTAACGCCATGTGATTCGGGTAATAACACAAGGATTTCATCATTTTTGAAGCCACGCTGAAAATACTCAGCAATCTGTGCATTCATGACTGGATGTAATACCGGTAGCTTAGCTGTACCATTTGTACCTGAGGGTCCAACTCTGAGTAGCTCCTGATGCATTCATGTTAATGAGACATGTTATATAAAGTGTGTGTTATGTAAAGTGAGTGCTCAAGTAGAGTAGAAAAGTGCTATAGAAAACCAGTCCATTTGCCATTAAGGATGAAATGATGAGACTGCGCCTACGCCTATTAGATAAATAAGGATCATTATGTACTGTGAATCATGAGGAGTTACTCTAGTAGCATCAAAGAATCAAAATAAGGAGATGGAAATGTTTTTAATATGTCCCCTTTTAAAGGTTGCAGTTTGGCAAGCTTTGAGGTCCATGGTAAAGCAGCAGATATGAACTAATAAGTTGTCAGGGAGGATTTCAAGTGAGTGTAAATGTAGAAGGAGGACTTAAGGGGGGATTTTGGCTGCACAAGTAGTTGACCTCGAAGGGGGCACAAACTCAAAATGTTTTCACTGTGCCTCATAGCTAATCTGGCTAAACTGTACATTTCTTTAATTGTTGCGGAAAACTTCTGGCTTGTGTTTCAAGAGTTTTTGGATGTACGTTAAATGGAATTATGGCAAGAGCTATAAAAATAAAACTCAAGTTTTATTGAACTGTAGAAAGAGTTTGAGGACCCAGTGATGTTTAAATCTAGAAAGACTGACTCTAAACATTACCATTACTTCATGTTCTAGTCAAGAATGAGCTTTTACCTTTCAATTTGATTTTACATTCAGAGCTTTTCATTGCAATTCTAATATTTGTAGTCATACATAAATATGAGATGATTCCTGCTCGATGAAGGCAAATCAGGTAAATTACTAGAAAAAGAAATGTTTGTTTCACGCTAATGCTGATGCTGAATTGCAAAACACTGTGCTATAGCACCATCCTTTGTGGGTGTTTAACCCTGATATTTTGTCAAGTTCCTGTTAAAGTGACATTTTATCTCTTAGCTTAGTAAGAGTTTGATCAGCATGTGAGCCAGTTTTTATCTATAACAACTCTGCTAGTGAGATACTGACTGCGTAAACAAAAGAGCCGAAACCGCACCATTCTCCAGTGAAGAACAATCCGGTCTTTGACTGTGGCTGATTGTGATCGAATGACTGCTGAATAGCTCTTTTTGCTTCTTATCAGTACTCTGCAGCCTCCACCAGAATTGTTTTGTGGTAAATAAAACACAAAAATCATTGTTTTTTTTATTGAATAATGATTATA